CCGGGAGCTTTGGGGTCCCTCGACAAAGCGTGTAAGCCGAAGCTGCTCACTCCAACGCACCCCTGCATCGCCAAGCCGTGTGTTCCTGGCCACCAGCTGCGGACGGGGGCACCCGAGGAAATCAGTTAGCTACACAAGTTAAACCAGCCCAGTGTTCGTCTGCACTCACAATATCACCCCCCTACACACACTGCCACCCCTACCCTGAGCGACACGGCGCTCATCCGCACTCACACACATGCTCTCACGCTGAGCGAGACTGGCATCAGGGCAGGAAGGTCTGTGGTGCGTGTACACTGGCACAACTCTTGGCACGCTACTAACGTCTCATGAATTGAGTTAAAACATCCGATCACATTCAGACACTGATTAATAGGCATCTTCCAAGTCCCAGGCTCTTCCCTAACCACTGGGCCAGCCTCCCCTAGGATCCCGCTTGCGTGCAGGCACCACTCCCCCCAAAAACCCAATACGCGTGCGGCCAGCACTGCAGGGGCCGCGTCAGCCAACCGGGGCTGCGTACTGGACACGTCTGTACGCTGGTTAAATACACCCTAGACTGAACAGTGTGTGGAAGAGTCAGGCCTGGTCTACACTTACAGCACTCAGGGTGTAGACACAGCTCGGCGGGTGGAAGAATGCTTCTGCCGTCCTTGCTACCATCACGAGGACGCGGTGATTCTACAGTGGCAGGGAAACCCCCTTCTGGAGCAGCCATCTCTGTCTACACTACAGGGTTGCAGTGGCTTAGCTGTGGAGCCATGGCTAGGCCGCTACAGCACCTTCCGAGTAGACATGGCCTCAGGGACACTCTCCCTCATTCCTCTCAGACAGTCTTCCCCCTTTGTGGCGTCTCCTTTCCCTCCTCACTCCCCTCAGGGCCGTCTCTGCTTTGATCCAGCGCCACAGGTCGCTGGCCAGACCTTACAAGGATGTTTTTGTGGTTAACGTGCTGGCCTGATGCTCAGGGTTCAGCTCCTGGCTCTACCACAGACCCCCTGTGGGATCTCAGGCAAGCTGTGATCTCTCCGTGCTTCATTTCCTTAACCATTCCCCTCACGCGCACACATCCTAGCTTGGCTGTTTCGATTATCAGGGCACATCTACACTTCCGGAGATCAATCTTCCGGTGTTTGATTTAGCGGGTCTGGTAAAGACCCACTAAATCAAATGCTGAGGGCACCCCCGTTGACCCCCAGAACTAAGGGGAAAGTTTCTCCTGTCGACTTCCCGCTATGGGGCTGCCCCAGAAAATCGATGCAAGGGATGTAGCTGGAGTTGCAGGTCTTCTATCCGCCAGTACAGACCTGGCCTAAGTTCTGCATGGCAGGGACCATCTCTCCTTGTGTGTCCGGACAGCACCCACCAAACAGGGCCCCGATTTCTCAGCCAGAGTCTCGAGGGGCTACAGTACCGCAAACAGAAATAATCATGCTGCATTCTGTACCAAAGATACTCAGTTGTCGGGGGAGAGGATTCGCTTTCCCCACCGAGGAAATGTAGCCACCGCTTGGATAAAACACCGCCAGTCTGTCACGGACCACAGCCACTGCCAAGAGGCACAGCACCCCCAAAACTACCTAGTGAATCAGCCACACAGCTGCCTGCAACAGCTGGGGTTCCGCAGGCTGCTTGCACCAGACGGTAGGGCTGCAGGAAGCGGCTCTGTGGAAGGAACCCGCTCAGCCACGATGAGAAACCATCCTTGAGCGAAGTCACCCAAAAACGCGACGGGTGCGTGTGTAGCATGGACAGAGCTCAGCGCCAATGCCTGCCAAGTCCCATTCCCATGGAAACCCACATGGAACAGCCCATTCAGGACTGGGATTGGATGGAGGAGGGGAAAAATGGCAAGAGAAAGGACCACAGGGGGAAAAAAAAAGGCTGATTTTCCTGCACAGGCCTGTTTATGAAGTGAGAAATGGTTTCAGGGCAGCCACTGCAAATTCTTTCACTAGCTTATATTTCCATGTGCTTCCTTTTGAAAGAATTTGTTTTATGAGCACAGCGCTTGTCAGGTCATTAGCTTCCGTGTGCATCTGGTACCAATTGTAGATCTCTCTTTCTTCTCTCTCTGGGCGGCTGTAGTGGTCTGTAACTGTGCCCTCCAAACCCCACGGTACAACCCTTCCGCACCTGTACCTCCCAATGAACACTCCGAGCTCTTTCCCAACGTAACCTTCTCAAGTGCATGCGTGAGGGTGTGCATGCTGACGGGTGCACCGGGGGGGGGCCTTTTCTCTTGGGGCGGTTTCTCGTCTCCAGTCTCTCACTAGCAAGGAAGGCAGATGGGGAATTTGCTTATTTTCTGCAAGCCACCCTAGAGGTGCCACGTTTATTACTACTGAAGATTTGGGGCCCTGGTCCTGAAGCCAGCCCCCCACCGTGCTAAGCACTACACAACAGAGACCAAAAAGGATGCTTACAAGCCCAATGTGCCTGTCCTGGCTTACTTCTCAAGCACTTTGTAAGAGCAGGTCTGAGTTGCACCCTAGAAAGGCAGGTAGAGACCTCAGGCTGGAGGGGGAAATGTCAGGGTGACAAAACTAGGAAGCCTACAATACTGCCGTCTGCGCCACAGCGCCAGGACCTCAGTGTGGCCACGGGACCGAACTGCACACTCACCCTGTGGTGAAACTGTGAGCTCCTGAGCCAGTGACGCGGCAGCACGATACCATGGAGATGCTCGGGAAACATAAGAAGGTAAGAGCAGCCATACTGGGGTCAAACCAAAGGTCCATCTAGCCCAGCATCCCGTCTGCCAACAGTGGTCAATGCCAGGTGCCCCAGAGCCAAAGGGGGTGAACAGAACAGGGAATCATCATGTGATCCCTCTCCTGTCATCCATTTCCAGACAAACAGAGGCTAGGGACAACATCCCTACTCCTCCTCGCTAATAGCCATCGATGGACCATGAATTCAGCTAGCTCCTTTTTGAACCCTGTTAAAGTCCTAGTCTTCACAAGATCCTCTGGCAAGGAGTTCCACAGGTGGACGGTGCATTATATAAAGAAAAACTTCCTTTTAAACCTGCTGCCTATTAATTTCATTTGTCGACCCCCAGTTCTTATATTATGGGAACAACTAAACAACTTTTCCTTATTCACCTTTCCCACACCAGTCATAATTTTATAGACCTCTATCGTATCCCCCCTTAGTCTCCTCTTTTCTAAGCTGAAAAGTCCAAGTCTCTTTAATCTCGCTTCATATGGAACCCATTCCAAACCCCTCATCATTTTAGTTGCCCTTCTCTGAACCTTTTCCAATGCCAATATAGCTTTTTTGAGATGAGGTGACCACATCTGTACG